CAAGGGCAAACGATTAAAATTTTATTTTTACATAGTTAATTTGGGAATGTGATACTGGATTTCCATTCACTGTATTATATCAAGGTTTCCTTTCAACATAATTTTAAATGTAAAGAACATAATTTTAAGTATAAAATATCATTAAAAGAATAATATTAAATGTTACTGTAGGTGGTACATAGTCAAGGCAAAAACCACAAGGATGGTATGCAGATAACTGAATTTTTGAAAACTCAATGTTAATAGAGTCACCTAGAGTGGGATGTAACTTCTACATTGTTCTATGTGGCTTATATTTTGAAACATTTAAATGTAGTTTTCAAAGAAGAATGGAGGAAACTATGAAGCTTGCTACAGTAGAAGACACTGTGGAGTACCACCTGTTCCTGATACCAGATGACTCAAGGGACCCGGAGGAACACAAAGAGATTCTTCAGAAATATATTGAGAGAATAATGACCCAGTTTGCACATATGTTGGCCCCCTATATCTGGCAGAATCAGCCTTTCAATCTCAAATATAAACCTGGGAAAGGTAAGGCTCTTTTACTTATTTTGATTAGTGTGACTTAATGTTATTCTGACAACAGTGACGTGTAATAGTCCTTACTTCATTCAGTGTTGTTAGGAAGAAATCATATCCTCAACTTTTTAGATTAGTGATGCTTGTCTATGTTTAGTTAAGTCTTAAAAAAAATTTTTTTAATTCATATTAATGAAAACTTTCTAATAGTCATTACCTTAGGAACTAGCATATACTAAGCATTATTAAACTCATGGCTATTCTTCTGAACTTTAGCTACTATCCTGTGCCATAATGTATCTAAGTACCTATACTAAACAGGTGCAGGCATCTGGCTTCCTTAATCAAAGTTCCTTTTGCTGTTACTCAGTGTTCTTTATCTTGGTGATGTGTTTAGTAGGCTGCCTTGTTTCACATAGTTGTTTGGGTGAGGATCTAAGAATGGCTCTTCCTGGCTTATGAAGAGAAATAATTGGGGTTTATGATCATTATTTGCCACTCAAAAACATTTTGAGGTTCCTTCACCGCTTCCCTGTGTTGTCAGTGCTTGAGATCTAATCTCTGGAAAAATGTGGCACTGTGTCCTCTCATTCCTTACAACTTTACAAAAATGAATCATGGATAGGTGACCAAGGTTCTACTCACATAGAGATTTATGTGGAGTCTTGTTTAGGATCAGGAACATGGTATCTTGGGATGGTATCACAAGTATACACCACAAGTATACATCACTGTGATACTTTCAATTTGGTGCTTATCTGTTATCTTTTGGCTAGCAATTGCTAAATGTCTTCCTTACTGTTAATTTTATTGAGCTCTTATTCTCCGATAAACGTGATATTTTTTAGCAAGAACACTGTCATATTAGTGTACACATCCAAAACCAACCCTTTATCTGCCCTCCTCAAAGTTATTTTTACCATGTTTTCTCATCTTATTTAGTGGCATTGCCATACACCTAATTACCTAAGCTGCTTCGTAATTCAGAATCCTGCTGAACTCCTCACATCACCGTGTTCAATTAGGCATTAAATCCCAATTACTTCTAAAATATGACCTCTTTACATCTGTTTGGCTTCAATGTAGGCCTTCTTTACTTCTTCATCTGGAAAACTACAATAGCCTCCTAACCCACCTCTGTGATTCTGGTCTCTCCACTTCCTCATACTGTTGCCAGTTACCTTTGTAAAACACAAATTTGTTCATGTCACTCTTCCACTCTCCTGCTTTGTATCCTTCAACAGTTGCCCATTGCTTCAGATGAAGTTTAAATTGAAGTCTAATATATAAGGTAGACAAAAATAGATACTTTTTTTGTTGTTGTTGTTAAGAGACAGGGTCTTGTTCTGTTGCCCAGGCTGGAGTGCAGTAGCTTCAAATTCCTGGGCTTAAGTGATCCGCCCGCCTCAGCCTCCTGAGCCTAAGACTATAGCCTGGCTAATTTTTTTATTTTTTATGTTTTTTTAGAGACAGCGTCTCACTGTCTGGTCTTGAACTCCTGGCCTCAAATGATCTTCCTGCCTTGGTCTCCCAAAGCACTGGGATTACAGGCATGAGCCACCATGCCCAGCCAAAAATAGATACTCTAATTGAATTCTCTAGTTGAAGAAACTTGTAATATCTGGGGAGGGGAGAAGAGTTGAGTGGGTTGTTCTTCTTACCTGTTTTTTTGGTGTGGTAGCTCTTGAGACATTCTGCAACATGTTTGACCCTCATTCTGCTAGTGTGGTATATTACTGTGCACTGATTTTTCTCATGTTGAACCATCCTTGCATTCCAGGAATAAATCCCACTTGGTCATGGTATATAATCATTTTAATTGCTTTTGAATTTGGTTTGCTAATATGTTGCTGAGGATTTCTGCATCAATATTCATCAGGGATATATTGGTCTTCAGTTTTCTTGTATTATCTTTGTCTGG